TCATCAATCAAACATCAATCAGTTGAACAGTCAATTAGTCAATCAGCTTTTAGAGACAGTTTTATGCCACATTATATACAATAGCCCTGGCCTGGATCTATAATCTGTCTATCTATAATTTATACTATCGGAGCTCCAGTTACATGCTGCCCCTCAGGTCGGTATCACCCTATTAGAGCCTTGTTACAGGTTATAAAAACTAAATATTGCGACGTTGGCAACGTTTAATAAAACCATTTTGTTACCAATGAAAAAATATCAAATACTCGTACACGCTTGTTTTCTATATTTGTTTTAGGGTCCTTTTCAAAACCTGGTTCACATTGATGAGGGTCACAATGTGTGCTGTCTGCGTGTGTGTGTTTGTGTGTGTGTTAAATTCCACATGGCCGGCATATTTGTCAAACAAATTGGTTAGATATTAATGCACATATTTACATAAATGTACATCCTGCGCTTGTATATGTAAGCATTTTTTAAACTCTGCTAATTTTAATAGTTTTTTGTTGTTGTTGTTGCCAAATGCAACATGTGTGTGTTTGGTATTTGAATTCGAAGTGCTCTGTTTATAGATTGTAATTTAAATTGAATTTGCATACAGGTCAAACATGCAGGCAAAGCGGCAAATTCAATTTAAGCACATGTGAGCACCTGGGCCGAGTACTTTTCGGCAACACTGTTGTTGGTTTTAGGCTAAATGCCATATTTAACGTTGACCGATTGAGTTTGAATATTTGACAGCAATGAAAAATACATTTAAGCGCATTCAATGAAAGTCTAACAAATTTAACATTAAATAGAATGTGAGACACTTTATGGTAATTACAATTTATTGCCTGAGTAAATGATTTATATTGAATAATAAATATTTACATAGTGTTTGGCATTAATTGAAGAAATAATAGTATATTTATTTAGATAGAAATTGTCTAGGTGGAAAAAGTTGAACGGATCGAACTACTTTATTTCTGAATTTACAATCCATATATGCCATATATTCCAAAAGATTTCTACTTGAGCATGCAATAAATTTTGTAAATTTGTATAAAATCTTATCTTCCAAGAGCTTGTTATTCTACTGAAGTGTTTCTACGAGTAACTATGGGGCATACGACTTGCTGAAAATTAATCTCTCAAAGTAGGACATATTATCAGCGAATATTATCACAAATCGCATCTTACTACAAACAATAGTTTTAATTAAAACAAGCATTGATAAAAAATGGTCGCAAATGAATAGTAAATGGCTTATCAAAGGTGAGGTTCAATTCGAAGTGACCCCATGGTAGGCTGACTCATGACTGAAATCGACTGTTAATGCAATCGGCAGGATTAGAATCTGTTATCATATCAAGCAACTAGATATCTTTACTAATCCTGGCATTTTTATCAGATATAATCAATATCGTATTACTACAGCATATAGCTCCATAGGAAGAATCGGTCGAAAAATTAGTTTTTTGTTTGAGAAACTCATCTCTTAACTTATTCTATAAAAACAATCGTTCGGAATTAAAGCTATAGAAGAGTCCAGGCTCCTTTCCCGTTCTTCTTTTAAGGTGCTTTTGAAAAACATTTTGCTATGGTATTAAGGTTTTAAATTTCGATTGTTTGCAGCTGAACTCTTCTCATTTCGGTTCCTCTTTTAGTTGAAGCAAATTAGTTCAATCTTAAACCCAAGTCTAGGCCAAAAATAGCCTCAGCCAAAGTATATAGCATAATCATCATAGTATTAAGCATAATCATCGGCATGATTCAGTCAAATCTAATTAGAATCTACCACCGTATTATACAGCTATTAAGATATCATTAAGATATTATCGATATCCTTCTACAATAGCATATAGCTTTATGATGTATGAGAAACTTTTCTGCTCTTCAAGCAACTACGAGCTTCCCCTTCTCTTAACTTATTCGCAACTTCATGTCCGACAACAATATCATATGACTTCCTTAAAAAAACAAGCTTTCGGAATTAAAGCTATTGCGAAGCCATGGGTAATTTTCTCGCTTTCCTTTTAAGGTCTTAAATTTCAATTTTTTGCAGCCCAACTCTTCCCATTTCGTTCCCTCTCTTAGGTCAAACAAATCAGTTCAATCTTTGACCCGAGTCTAGGCCAAAAATAGCCTCAGCTAGGGCGTAGGGCTCGTAGGGCGACGCGGTTTTAAATGAAATTAATAAAATTAAATATAGCTCAACGAATCGAATGTTTGCAATTATAATTAAGAAAGGGTTCACTTTCCCCGCATGCACAATAAGAATTGTTGCTTGCATTCAATTTGCTTTCTTGCTTTGTTGAAGAAGTGCAATTAAAACGGCTTTTCCTACTCGACCCAACTCGACTTTATTATCCGACAGACGCTTTCATTTGTGGTAAGTAAATATACAGCATTGTAATCTTGTTAAGGCATTATAGCCCTGTTGGCCTTAATGATGATGTGCAGTTTGCTGGGGTTTTAACTTTCACGAGCCAGCGCAAATACGACGCATCATAAAGACTACGCAGCACTCATACGCCGTGTGGCACGGCATAAACCACCTGGCTGGGGTAGAGAGTTAGCGGCACGTGTGTATATTTTTAATTATGCGGCCACAAGGTGAAAACTAGCCGTGAATTTTGATGAGCGACAGCAGAGAACTATGTTAACTTATTAAAGCGGCAACAACAACTCGAGCTTCAGTGTAATGTAAATATTTGGCGAACAAAGCGAAATGCTGAGGCCCAACAATGGGTGACCTAATCTCTGGCTGACCATCTCTTGATGGTCGAGTTGCTCAACAGCAAATTGCCCGGCGATTTGCATGGCGATAGGCACGACTCAAAGGTTCAAGGACTGCCCCCTGCGGCGACTGTTGCTTTGTATTAAAAAATACAAAAAAAAAAAATAGAGAGAGAGAGAAAATGATAGCTGGGAATACGAGTTGTAATGCCTTGTAAAGAGCCGCAAATCCTTTATGTAATCCGGCTTTGTGCCATTCCGATGATAACCTAAAAGTGTGCAAAGCCGATGAAGCTACAAAGCAAAAAAAAAATGAAAATGTTTGTGAACTACGTCAACTATATGGGAGGGGAGGGGAGTGGAGGGGTTGCCACCCTCTAAGCGCATCGTCGGATGTTAGAAAATTGCTTAATTTTCGCAGCGGGGCAAACAAAGACGAAGCAAATAAAACCTGAATATAAATCGCCGAGCACATTCAGCCCCGGGAAAAATCATTATATGCCTCATTTGTTTGCGCCTCTTCAAGAGCCGCTTATTATATTCTGATTATTTTTGGCACGCGTGTGGCGGCCCCAACAAGGAACAATACAAAACAAATGCTGTAGTGAGTGTGTGATAAGCCGACAGATACCCTGTACTCAATGATTAATATTAAATACCAAATATATTAAACACTTTTATAGTATGATACTTGCAAAGGCCGATAACTTGACATATTTCTTTGAGGGTCATTTAATCGCCCGCAATTTCCCATACATTTTTCTCCCTTGGGAAGAAATATATAGATATGGATATCTGTAGACTTCCCATCCAGCAGTCAGTCAATCAATCAATCAAGCAGTCTTGCTTTCGATTTACCAGAAAACTAATTTCAAATGTCAAGTTTCCACTGCCAAAAGACCCAAAACAGAGCCTAAAATATGTTAATTTTTATAAATGTTACATGTGGATGCCCAATTTACGCATACCCCTTTTTACGCATTTTGGTTAAAAGGTATTAAAAAAAAAAATTACAAGTACAATTTCAACAGACTTTGCCCAGTTGTCCAGTGGCTCGTTGTAAACAAATTCATAAATATATATACCTACAACAAGGCCTAAAGAATGGCCTATGCCTGCTTTTCGCATAATTTTTTCATTTCATTTCCTGTGTGTGTGAGTGTGTGTAAGTGTGAGAGAGTGTGCCTTGATGGTGGCAATGCTCGTTTGGCCTGCTTTGTCCATAATGAGATATCTCTATTTCTCTTTTGTTTCATTTTACTTTTGTATTTTTTTTTGTCTTTTTTTTTTGCAAGCTCAACTGCTCGTCGCTTTTCTTATTATTGTATGTTTGTGTGTGTGTGTGTGTGTGTGTGTGTGTGTGTGTGTGCGTGTGTGTGTGTTGTTTTTGCATTCGGCAAATGCCGCTGGGAAATTCGTGCAGCGCAAAAAATCTTTGGGCTCAAACGGCAATGATGCCGTCGACGTGGCCTTATTAATTAGAACACGCGCCCCACAAATTTCTTCCTTTTCTTTTTCTGTTCTAACTTAGTGCATACCGCCCGCCCGCCGTCCTCCTCTCCCCGCGCCCCCCAACTGTGCTGTGAAAGGACACAGTTTTAGGTAATTTAAATTCATTGCAATTTTCGGACGGTTCGAGCATCATTTGCATATGAATGACAACAGAAGCAGCGGCAGCCTTGCAAAATGAAAAAATAAGCGCAGACTGTTAAGTGAAAAGCCAAGGGAACTGTCACGACCATCATCATATTTAATAATGAGAGCATTAACGGCGCAAATTACAGGGTATTTTTATATGAGCAGGCATCTAGATCTATATAGAATAGGCGAACTATTCAGGTTTATAAAAAATCAAAATAAAATTCGATCGCTGATTCATTAGAGATGTCTAAGTAACTGGCAATAACATATAATCTGACCTAAATATAATGTGTTCTAGAATAACCCGGCGTCGCCCGGTCAAATATATTATGTTCAAACTGCAAATGGTATCGAAATTATTAGCACGCTTTTTTCGTCTTCCTTGAGGATACAAAGATACATCCGTAAGCAATAACCTCAAATGAATTTCAAAGATATCAGATAAAAATAATTATGGAAATTCGACCATAACATATTTTCTTGTTTTAATTTTTATTTACATGCATGGCAACACGTACTCTGTAGAGAGGCAGCAGTCGAGAACATTAAGACAAGTGTGTTTGTAAGTAAATAAAAAAAAAAAGGTGATCAATTCAAAATTTAAAAAGTAAAAATTAATAAAATAGGCACGCAAAGAAGTGTTACATCAGCGAGGAGCTTGAATTGGATGGAATGAAGTCAGGTCGTACATATTTCAGAATTTGTACCAAAAAGTGAGAGCTTGTCTTGATTGCAACGAAAATTTCAGTTGGATTCCGGTTTTGGAAAACCCAGGTGCTAAATGGATCACATATATTTAGTTAGTTACATGCAGCTTCTGCTGCAGCTGCCTCGTCGTTGACTTTCATAATTTCCTTTTCGATGGTCATCTTCAGCTTTTGCAGGTCTATGTCCAGATAAATTTTGCGCTCATACTTGCTGGCCAGTTTGTCGATGGTGCCGCTGAGATGCTTCTTGAATATTTCGAGCACCTCGTTGTCGTTGGGACCGGTCGACATGTGACCGTGCAGGCAGCGCTGGAATTCATCCTCGGCCAGCGCCTCGGCGAGCTTGTCCTCAATGCTATCCTGTTGCTTGCGAATTTGGCTGATTTCGGTCTCCAGCTGGGACTTCTCGCGATTGAGCGACTCATAGTTAAATATCTTCATTTTCAGCTCTTGGGTAAGTATGACGCCGGGATTCAATTGACGGGCGAAGAGTCGTGGCTGTTGGTACATTGCAGGCGAGTGAAGAATTTTCTTCACAAAATCGATTAAATATTCAAAAAACAATTTTGGTGTGAGTTTCTATTGTTTGACGGGAAGCAGTAAATTGTACTCCATACAAATGATTTGATGTTACTTCTCCTACAACTACAAAAGCCTGCCTGGCACACAGATTTACATAATGTACTAGCAGAAATTACCCGGCGTCGCACGGTTTATTAGTCGGTACTTTAAGCACAAAAGCCTTGCAGCTCATGATGTCGGTTTTCCTCCTATTGGAGATTAAATTGTCGAAAGCCCAGCCTTTAACCCAAGAGAAAACTTCAGTAAAGGTGTCTACTGCCTACGTTGATCACCTGTCAGAATAAACTCTTTTATATGTACAGCTTGAAGCCAAATGAAGTCAATCTATCTGATGCGTGAAACGCGGCGCCAGCTTTAATCTCCATTAATGGTTTGCAGGGCGAATTCGAATGAAATTAAAGCCGCAGCAATCTCATTTCCGCGCATCTTTCACACGCCCAAAGGGGGGGGAAGTGAGAGATGGGCAGCAAGCGGGTTGTTGAAAATTAAATTGCGTATACGCACAGTTGCCGCTGCGGTAAATGCGGCGACGTCAACGCGTGTGTGTTGACTCTATCGTTAAGTGCATAAATTGAATAATGCGTAGCATGTGCAGTGTCAACTCTGGCCGATAGAGTTGCCGAGATCGCCATGTTTGCGCTTTAAATTTATTGAATTTCCTTCTTTTGGCCCCACAGCGAGCCACATAAACCATTATTATATTACTTTATCTATCTGTGCTGCAACTCGCCCGCAAATTTACCAAAATTTCGTTAGCTCTTTATATAGCTGGGGTATACTTTTTATGGGCGATCGTTTGTCTTTTGGCCAGCGCATTTAATCAAAGTTATTTGAATGCAGTCAAGCGAAATGCAAATGAATGCATTTAACAAGTTGTTGCAACTGGCTGCAGCTCAGCACACAACTTCATTTACATTTAGCCCCACAGATCTGAGACCAAATAAACGCTAGCTAAAACTTTTATTGACATTTGCCGGACCACAAAGACAGTAAGCGAGGGGCGGGGCGTCGCCCCAAGCCCGAATAAGCTGCGAAGTATTTGTTTTTACTTTGTTACTGGGCTAAGCATTAGTGCCACAGATTCTTCTATATCTGTAAGCAGTTGCTGGGTCTGACGAACTTGCCCGCATTCGATAGTTTGTTCACTTAAATTAATTAAATTGTATTGGCCAATACACGCACTAAAAGAGTTTGGCATTCAATGGCTAGCCTGTAGCCAAACATTTGCCATTTGCAGACAGCTGCGATAATATTCAAGTGCAAATTTCCCAAGTATTTGAACAATCCGCTGACAGGCAACTTCTTTCCTATATATATATATTTATATATAATTTAACTGCCCTTCGCGCATTGAGCCGAAAGTCACGCAATTTTCTGTTTTTATAGCCGGTTGCGATTTCTTTGCTTTGACAACTTCAGTCTGATTGTCTTCACACCGAATCGAGTCGTTTGCCAATTTGTCTGCGGCAATCAGCCGCATGGAAAGCTGTTTAACTTGAATATTAAAATATTATTTAAAGCAGTTCAAATATGCGGCTTATCTGCGGCAATCGGTACGCAATGAAAACTCTTTAAGTTTAAATTTAAAAATTTGTAATTTAAGTTTTAAACTTTATTATCGAAAGGCATTTAATATGCGGGGCTCAGCGACAGCCTATTGCAATCTATAAATCTTAGCTAAAAAATGCAATTTAAATATTTTTAAGATTATTTCAATATATTCAAGAGGGTAAGCAAATAATTGCAATGGATGAAATTACTATTCGGAAGCGTATAGAAAATAATTTGAATTTATTTTGATTTTAATACTTTAACTTTTGACATTATTCATCCATATCCAAAAAAGAGCTTAACAAACTTTTATCCAAAAACCAACAAACTGATTTTGTCAGTTTTAACTGAAATTAATTGCAATTCGTGAGCTGCATTCGAGGCATTTGAATAAATGACAATGCAATCGTTCAATTAGTTTTGAAATTCTCGCATTAGGCACTTAAGACAGACACTTAATGCTGCCCATCAATAATAATTGGTAGCCCGAGCTTCAACTAATTTTCGCACTCGAGTACACGATTTTTGAAGGTCGACTTTGAGCCTGTTGCCAGCCCTTGATTATGATAAATGGGCCGCAGCTAGCATATTTCACAATGTGCTGAAAAATGGAATAAAGCGATAATGAGCTATTATTAATATCATCTGGCGACTTATTTAGTGACAAACAATGGACGACAGGCCGACATTATGCAAAGTTTGACGCGCTGCAGAGTATCTATTGTCGTCTCTCGTGGAGACTTAACCCGTTTTCGGGTGTTTGGGTACATCAAAAATATAAGCCTCGGAGCTGGGCGCTCTTCAAAGTGTCAAGAAAACAAATGACGGTCAATTTCTTGTGTTTATTCTGTATTCTTTTATATACTGCAGCCGTTGAAAGTACGTAAAAAGGGTAGATTGGTTTTGTGCAGATGTATGGAACAGCTAGAAGAAAGCTTCTGCGACCCAAGACACATATTCTTGATTAGGACGAAGCGCTAAGACAAGAGCTTTGTGCCTCCGGCTCGAGATTTTACATTAGATATATATATATATTATCATTTATAATATTTTCGATATCTTGCCCCATTTTCGTATGATCGATAAATATCGATTTTGCGGCCTGATTCCCGTAAAGTATATAGAAGCTATAATCTTTCACTTTTGGGATACATTTCCCCATTGCTTGCACTTTGGTGCGTACATACTCTTCTGTTATATTCGAGCCCTGAAAGTTTTTTCAGATTAGACTACAAAGGTCAAAGTTAATCAAAAATAAATGAATAAAAGAAGAAGCACATCCACACCCATTCATGGCTTCTCTACATATGTTTGTATTTGTTGGTATGTAAAGAAGGAAGCTTGGCGCTGTGTACAAGGTATCTGCTAGTCGTGCACTCCCGACCTAGGCACTCTTATTTGTTTGTTCTTTTTTTATGCCAGGCCAGAGTGTCTGATAGTCATATACTAAATATATACTGGCCGAGTTTAGGTTGCCGAATGGCAAGTGTTAAACTTTTCCTCTGCCACTTGACAGGGCCAAAGGGACGCGGAACGTGGACGCGAGGCGGGAAGGCAGCGAAGCTTAAGGCAAATATCCATCTAGGACAGGTTGGTAACTCGAGAACATAAAAGGGATTTGGGCTGTGCGTATTAAAAGCACAAAAGAATAAAATGAAGCCTATTAAAACGAAAGGCAAGTATTAGATTTACTTAGATGCGGTCTCATCATAAAAATATATATACTCTAATATTCAAAATGCAAACAGCCGAGCATTCGGCTTTAATTTGTTTCGCTTTTTTTTTTTTTTTAGCCCCTGTTGCCTGGCAGCGAGCTTTATTTAGCATTTTATTTTTTAATCATTTTTTCCCTGGCATATCTAATGACAAAAATTAATACACATAGATAAGGGGCTTCTGGTTTGCCACGTTTTATACGCCATTTTCTTTTTTTTTTTTTTTTTTAGCTATTCTGCCTGCGGCGTGTGTAATCTGCTTAGTGTCATTTTATTGCGAGAACAACTTTAATTAGCTAATCAACAATTTATGCATCATTAATTATGTTAAGAGGCTCTTGTAATTTCTCACAAGCCAAAATGTTTTGTGCCAAATATGAATATATTCGGTTATATATTCAATATATTCTGTTAAATTGTGTTGGCACGTGCCTCGCAAGTTTGATATCTTTTAATATGGCAAATAAATATAATTAAATATTTGCTATTTCGTTTTATACCCTGAACTCGTTGAAAATGGGTAAAAAGGGAATAATGTATTTGTGCAAATGTATGTAACAGCCAGAAAGCAGCATATCCAACCCCATAAAGTATATATATTCTTGATCAGCATCAATAGCCAAGTCGATCTAGCCATGTCCGTATGTATGATCGCAAGGATCTCAGAACCTATAAGAGCTAGAGATTTAAAATTTAGAACGTAGGTCCTTCTAGCGCAGTACGCTTCCGACAATCGATAACTTGCCCCGTTTCCAAGTAATCGATAAAAAAACGATATCGAAGTCCTATTTTTTTTAGCAAATATCGTAAGTTATAAGGGCTAGAGTCCCCAATCTTGAAATGTAGCTTCTAGACTAGTATATATATATATCAGGTATCTTTCGTTTTATAGCTAAATCAAGTAAATCAACCAATTTGTACTGCACATCAATTTAAGCCACTATTTAAATGCAATTGACTTTTTGAGAATATACAAATATTCTATAGCACAATAAGGTCTACTGTTGAAAATCGCATCAAGATCGATTGAGAAACACAAAAGATATTAATGAAAATGTGTTTTGGGTGGCCTCGTACTTGCGGCAGCTAGCGCAAAGTGCATGAATTTTAGTATACAGCAACACACACACACATTTACGTGCGTCGTTATTGAAGGAACTAATTTTTGTTTCTTTTAAATTTATTTTTATTACTGCTTAAGCAAATGAGCGCGTAGCCCAATCTGCATTTGGTGTTGGTAGATGAGGGTTCAGGGTATCCCCAAGTCTTACTGGTTTTATATAGATTTTGTCTTCAAGGGGATTCGATCCATGCACTTCCCGCTTAACCCACAATGCAACTCAACCCAAAGACTACATTGGACACATTTTAATTATTACTCCCTATAACCATTCCCTTCCCACTTTCCTACCATTGCTTGTGAATTTGAACCGGCGACCTACTGCTTGCAAAAAGTAAGGAAACGTACACGACCCACAAACAGTTAAAAGTAACAGCAATTCGGGGATTGACAGGAATTTTCAAGGACTGCAACTGAGCGTAGCTGGAATTTGTTTTATGTTCACACTTTGCTGACACAAACGAAATATATTAACAAAAAAGAGCTCAAGTGGAAAATGTTTATAAAAAAAAAAAGGAGAAGCTATATGTAGCAAAAACTTGGAAATTCATTAAACTTCCTGTCAATTCAGGCCAAGGCCCGAATGGCCGTTCTAGGCCTTTTCAATTTGCCTGCCAAGCACAAATGGCAACCTGCCTGGCGAGCGGCATACAAAAATGGCAATAAAATATGGTC